TTGCCTGGCACGTGGGAGGCCCTGGGTTCAACCCTCAGCACCACAACAATTAAATAAGTAAAATAAAGGACTGTGTCCATCTACAACTAAAATGATGACATTTTTTTTTAAAGGGCTGCAGATGTGGCTCAGTGGTTGGGAACCAGACTCCGGGTTCAATTCCTGGTACCAAAAACAAAACAACAACAAAAAAAACAAACCCACCCTAAAGTGGAAGCTGAGAACCAAAGTCCTGAGCACCCTCTTGCACAGCCCTAAGAGAGCAAAGGACAAGACCTTGAAGACACGGTCAGCAGCGCCTGTGGAAAGGACCCACACCCACCCCAGTCTCCCTGAAAGGTGTGGACTGACCTGTCTCTGGAGCTGAAGACGGGCAAGTGAGGGCCAGTGGCCTGTGCTCCTGCTGCTGCCTGAAACACCCCCGATGAGGACACCTCCTAGAGGGTCCTGGGTGGCCAGTGGTCCCAGGCATGTACAGCTGGGCCGTGGACGAGACTGCCTGGCCCTGGACAAGCACAGCTATGTGATTCCTGGAGTTGCTGTCCCAAGGGACCGGGATCATCCTGGACAGCACTGAGCCCCGACGGTGCTCACCTCCCTTGGAGCCTGTATCCGCTGACCCCCACAGGGCAGCTGCCCTGGGGTAGTGAGAGGCCTTGGGCCCACTGGGCAGCAGTGACAGGGTCACTGTGACAGGCCACCAGCCAGAGCAGAGCTCCCACAGCCAGGGCTCTGCCCCACCAGGCCCTCAGGTCAGCTGTGAGGGCGGCTGGGAACCCAGGTGCCACCAGCCTCGTGCGGGGGAGACCCACACCCCCCAAGTGGCTCAGAGCCACACTGTCAAGCAAGGGAGTCCTGGGCGGGGGCTGTCCGGCCAGGAGGGCAGCAGACTGCTGGGGCTCAGGGCTGGTGAAGACCCGGCCTCTGCCTGGTCCTTCCCTCGCCAGTCCTACCCTCATGTGCTGGGAAGCTGCCCCTCCTCTGGACGCCTCTCCTGGACCTGAGACCGTTCCCTGCGCACTGGTCTGGCCTGAGCCCTGTGCAGCCTGTGCTGGACTCTCCCACTCTGTTCTCTCTGCACTTGGGTGGGCTTAACAGCCCTCAGCTGGACCCATGGCTGGGCTGGACGCACCCAGGTTACCCAGGCAGCCCTCGGTCCCAACAACAGACAGCAAGCAGCAGCCTGGGGTGGCAGGGCCAGGCAGGCCCTGAGGACCTCCTCCCCCAGGCTCAGGGCTTGCTGTCCAGGGCCCAGGCCCAGCACAGGGGTCAAGGAGTCCCCATGGCCTGCAGGACCTACAAGACCACAGGAAGTCCAGCAGGGCCCAGCTGGGTACCACGGGGAGCCCGGGCCCCTGACCTCACCACTCTGCCCCCAGAGCCTCCGTGTCCCTGAGGGGCCAGCAGGCCGCCTGCTCAGATGGCCGCAGTGCCCCACAGCCCAGGCGTCTGCTTCCCCGCCGCGGGTTCCCACGTGGACGACAATATGTGGAAGCTCCTCCACGTTCCTCAGGATGTCCGCTGCCCTTCCGGTCGGCTCGGCCTTGGCACCCAGGGGGACTGGCCTTCCGGGCCTCGCCCAAGGGCTGTGCGTTCCTCTCTGGTGACTCACTGAACCCTTGTCACCCCCCACAGCTCAGCACACCAGCTGGGTGCCCCTCAGGGGGACTAGCCCTGGCTCCATGGACCAGGCTGCTCTGCATGCCCTGCCGGGTCTCCAGGGCCAGGGACAGCTCTGCCAGGTCAGGACCACGTGGCGCCCAGGTGCAAGGCACGGACAGCTCTCTCTCTCTCTCTCTCTCACACACACACACACACATGCACGTGCTCTGTCACGCACGTGTGTCACGGCAGCACACATCCTGCCTGTGCTCCGTGGGGGTCAAGAGGCTCCTGTGGTCTGGTCACAGGGACTCCACTCGTGTCCCTGCAGCCGTGGAGCCCCACCAGGTCCTGGGAGTGGCAGGAGAGCCCTCTGGGCCCACATGCCATCCCGCCCGGTGCACACAGAAGCCACACACACCTGTTCACACACGTGCCTGAAGGCACCGCCTCCCCAGGACCCTCCGTCGCACATGGATGGAGCGGGCTTCCCGAGGGGTCAGAGCACGCAGGCTCCTGCTCACCTGCACGCAGTGGCCCAGCTCCCGGGACGGGCTTTTCTGGAGGAGAAGCTGGAGGCGGCCATCCCCAGGGTAGCTCCAGAGTGCCTCCATCCCTCCCCACAGGCCTGCCTTGGACCATGTCCCTGGCACAGTGGCCACCCAATCACCAGGTCCATCCTGGCGAGAGGGTGGCACGTGGACCCTGCCTGGTGGGGCTGGCTGGAGATCAGTGCATCAGGAGAGGCCTCTGGTCAGAGCTGCAGGGGGACTGTCTGGCTAGCAAGAGGGCAGTGTGGGCTGGGTGAGATGCAGGTCCTACTCAGGCCAGCTGGCCCAGGCACCCGGTGTGGCTGGGTGCAGACGCTGGCCAGGGCTAGCCTGGCTCCTAGCAGATGCTCTGTCGCTATTGGAGGCCGGAGTTGGTGGCGTGGCCAGGTACTGGGCTCAGGCTGCCCCATTCCCCGTTCTTCACGGCACCTCCACGGCCGTGCAGCCTCCAGGTGCTGCTGCCTTGGGCTCCGGCTCTCAGAGCCCTCTGCTCTGGGGGGACCCAGACCGACCCTGCTGCTCCAGCCCGTCCCACCCAGCCCAGGGCCTCACCTCAGCCCCAGGCCTGAGGCCCTCCCTGCCCCTGAGATTTCCTGGGGTCTCTCAGGCGTCACTTGCTCTGCCAGCCCTTCTGTGGGGCCTCAGCACAGGTGACCTGGGGCAGCGGCCTCCCGAGGGCCTTCCCGCCTCTCCTGCAGGGCAGGGCCTTCCTGACATTGTGGTGCTGGGCTCCGGCTTCCTCCTTCTCCCTCCGGAAGGTGAGCTCCTCGAGGCAGGCTCAGGCTCCCCGCCGGCTCTGTCTGCAGCAGGCCGCTGTGGCCGGCCCTGCACAGTGTGCTCACAGCCGAGGCCAAGTCTCCCCTGCCCAGGGGGACATGCGTGTCCAGCTCTGCTCTTCCCTCCTGGGGTGCTGTGGTCAGCTCTCTGGGAGGCCAGGGGTCCTCAGTGGATGCTGTGCCTTGCACTGAATCCAGGACATCGGCCAGCGCCAGCCCCTTGTTGCGGGGGGACAGCGGGGTCTCGCTGCAGGCAGGGCCAGCGTCTGCTGGGTGCGTCTCCTCCTGAGGTGCCAGGGCCACCCCTGCTCTGCCCTGCCCAAGGCTGGGGCCTTGGCTGCCCTGGCTGGGGTACCAGAGGGCCGTCCCCTTTTAAGCCATGGCAACCCCAGGACTGTTCTTCACAAAGTGGCTCCTTCTGAGGGAGGAAGGACGGAAGGAGGGACCGTGCACAGACCTGACAGCTGCCAGAGCCACCCAGGCCCAGCTCTGGAGACAGGGCTGGGAGTGCCCCGCGCGTGGGCCTGTGACTGGTGCTCAGCCCCAGGAGGGCCTGGGGTGCTGCCCTCAGGGAGCAAGAGCCCCTGCTCCTGTCCCCGTTTTCCTTTCAAGTTAATGTGTTTTGAGGCTCTGATTTTCACCAGAGTCACATGCAGGCAGCGTTTAAAAGTGGCCCCCAGGAAGACACAGGTGTCCTTGGCTGCCCAGGTGCCCGGCTGCTGCAGAGTGACTGTGAGAGCCTGGGTCTCCAGGTCACGCGCTCTGATCCCCGCGGGCTCGCTCTCCATGTCCCTCAGATCACAGAGTCAGAGTCTCCAGTGCCATCGACCTTTCATGACCTGTGCAGGGTGGTCCACTGCAAGCTGGCCCTCTGTCGTCCTGGGCAGCCCTCGCCTGCTCAGGCTTCATTCCCTGTCCTGAGGCCACCCACAGCACAGCCAGCCACTGTGTCCTCCACTTCTCAGGCTATGGTGAAGCAAGTCCACAGGAACCCAGCCCCGGCACTGGGGTGGGGTACCTGAGCTTGGACTTGAGCTAAGTCAACCTTTTTTCTTTGTGAGCACCCAGCTTCCGGCACTTTGTCATGACTACAGCAAAAGGGCTATTTCCGCCTCAGCCCTGTCCTCAGTGGTGCTGGGACACCTTGCTCCTTGGGGCCTCCTGAGACTCTGTCCCCAACCCTGCTGCCCCGTGGACCCAGCCTCTGCTCCTGAGCCTCTGCACTCCACAGCCTCTTATGCCCCTGCATCTGCAGAGTTGGGCAGGTGCAGCTGGACCCACTTCCTGTTCCAGTTTCAAACCTCTGCTGCTACGCTTCTTGTCGTCTCTTGAGTGTGTCCTTCCTTTTAAAACAGAGAGGCCATAAATGCTCTGGCTCCCTCTTGTTTTAACTATGAGTCCTACTCTTTTGGGGGTACTGGGGATCGAGCCCGAGGCCCTCGACCATTAAGCCACACCCCCAGCCCTATTTGTGGTTTATTAGAGACGGGATCTCACTGAGTTGGTAGCGCTCCGCTCTTGCTAAGGCTGGCTTTGAACTCGAGATCCTCCTGCCGCAGCCTCTCGAGCAGCTGGGATGAGAGGCGTGATCCACCCGGGCCAGTCTGTGAGTCCTGCTTTTCAAGGTGAGTCATTAACTGAGGTACAACTGAGCCCCGGAGCCAGGATCACAGCTGAGGACACCTCCACATCCTCAGCCTCCCGGGACCATGCCCCCTGCCCTCCTGGCCCCAGGAGGCCACCTCTCGGGTGTTGAGTGCGTGGTGGAGTCAGCATGTGCCTTGGGCCTGGCTCTTCTCACGCAGAGCCACTGGGTCCTCAGGCTGGGCTTGTTCCTGCACTGCCCCCCGGGGTCCTTCCCAGGCCTGGGGGCTGTGAGCACAGCTGCCGGGAAGCCTCCCCCACTGGGCCTTGCACCCTAACCCAGCCTGCATGGGGCTGGATCACGTCCTCAAGGGTCTGCACAGTGCTGCACCTGTCCCCAACCTGTCCCCGTCCTGACACAGAGTCCAGAGGCCCCACATCCACCCACTCTGGTGAGTCCACACGGGTCCCAGTGTTCAGGTGGCCTCTGTCCCTGTAACGTGCTGGCAGGTCCCCATGCTCGCTGGGGCTCTGCTGTCCCTTCTGGGGAAGTCGGTGGCCGGCTCCGTAGGTCTGCTCTGAGGACAGCTTCCAGGAGAGAAGCACTGAGGTCCAGAAGCGGCCTCCCGTCCCCCTGAGGCCCTCCTTAATTCTCAGCGCATTTGAACATCTGCTGACAAATCCTCCGTGAACTCCCCTCCCGACCAGCGATCTGGCTGAGTTGACCTGTGGACGCTGACCTTCACCTGTAGAGTCCCCCGGAATCCCCACCTTCTGTGCCTGTGAAGGTCCCCAGCACACCCCTGAGTGGGAGCAGCTGTCCTCGTCTGGTTCCCAAATCCAGAGGGAACGTGTCCTATGGAATGAAATCAATACCAAGTCTCCACGATCCCCTTCAAAAAGCTGAGGTGAGAGCCTTCCAGACTCAGGCTGCCAGGCGGCCTCACTCTGCCAAGCTGACCACCCCCTGGAACGCGGCGCAGAAATGCTTAACCAAAACGCCAGCAAAGGAATCCAAAGTCCACATCGAAGGACGTTACTCCAGGACCAAGAGGGCTCATCCCAGGAAGGTCCGGCAGGCTTCACATCACAAGTACCCAGGAGGGGTCCACCATGGAACGGGCCAAGTGGGAAACCTGCTTGCCCAGCCCGATGCCCACCTGACAGGGACTCCACAGACCGCGCCAGGGAGGGAACTGTGTCTGTGGCAGGAGGCGGCAGCTCACTCCCCGAGACCAGGAACAAGAAAAAGCTGCCCGTCCAGCCCAGGTCCAGCCACTGTGATGGAGGCTCTGGGGGAGGAAGAGGTGACACTGACCACGTGACTGTGGCCAGCGACGTCCAGAGGAGCCACAGGGACTGCTGGAGAGACAGTGGAGTTTCCACACCCAAAGCGGGCAGCGGGCAGCAGGTGGGCCGACCCCTCACTACCCGAGGCACCAGGGGTGAAGGGCTTAAGGTGCAGGTGCCAAGGCAGGAGGCCCCCAGGGCCGGAGCTCAGTGCTGTGAGAAGGAGGAGCACTACACGGGGGCTCCGGGGCGGGGCTGTGGGGACGCCGCTGTTCCCCAAGTCCATCCGCACCTCAACGCCATGCAGAGAGTATCCCAGGAGGTGACTTTTTTTTCTTGGTACCAGGGATCGAATCCAGGGTGCTCCACCACTGAGCCACACCCCAGCCGTTTTCATTTTAAGACACGGTGTCCCTAAGTTGCCCGGTTGGCCTCAGACTCGTGATCCTCCTGCCTCAGCCCCTGGAGTTGCTGGGTGAGCCTCCATGTCTGCCCGGGAAGCTGTTTTCAGCCTTTATTTTACTATTTATTTTATGTGGAGCTGGGGATTGAGCCCAGGCCTCACACTGGGTAGGTGCTGGGTGAGCACTCCACCTCTGAGCCCCAGCCCCAGCCCCCAGAAGGCTTTGTTTTGAGGCAAAAATTAATAAGCTGATTCTGACATTTATATCAAAATGCAAAGGGTCTAAAATAACCAAAACTACTTAAGAAAAAGTAGCAAAGTTGGAGACGCTACAGTCTGGGCATGGAATGTCCCCCACAGGCTGGTGGGCTGAGAGCCTGGTCCCCAGGGCAGCCCGCTGAGGGGACTGGATCAGGAGGGCCCTGACTTCATCGTGGGTCCGTCCTCTTGTCTTGGGAGGTTAGGAGGTGGACGTCTGAGCCGTCCTGGGTGTGCCTCCTGGGAGCAGTCTGTCCCCAGCCCCTTTCTCGCCCTCTGTTCCCTCCTTCTGGGGACTGGGGCCGTGCTGGGTGTCTGCGGCTCTGACAGGTGTGCGCTTGTTCCAGGGCTGACTTTCCGCCGCTGTGTCTCCCCGGTGAGGTGTCGGTTCAGATCTTCTGCCCAGGGTCAAACTGGTGGTTCATCCTGGTGTGTATTAAGAGACCCCGGGCATTTGGAGTCATGGTCCTTTATGAGACAGTCTTCAAGTGTGTCCCATCTAAGCTTGTCCTGGAGTGTGTCTGGCGGGTGGTATTCGCCCGTCTGTCCCTGAGTGTGCTGGGCTTTGGCATCCCTTCCCAGAGGCTGGCCAGAGGGTGAGCGGGATGCAGTGGGGCAGGCACCTCTTCCTGCCTTCCCTGTGAGGCTCCTGTGACGCTTGAGCTCACCAGCGGAGCCACCTGGGTTTGAGGTTTGCTTTATGGTGGGCAAAGTGTTTTTTTTTGTGTGTGTGTGTGTGTGTGTGTGTGTGTGTGTGGTGCTGGGACGGAGCCCAGGGCCTTGTGCATGCGAGGCAAGCCCTCCACCAGCTGAGCTGTGTCCCCAGCCCCAGCAGTTTCCGTCTCTGGATTCAACGTGTAGTCGACACAGGACTGTTCAGATTTTCCTTTTCCAAGCGTCAGTTCTAGTAAATGGTGTCTCACCCGCAAAGGACCAGTGCCTTCCTGGCACCCCTGGCGGGCCCCTCCCGACACTGGCAGTCTGGACTTTGTCTTCCTTAGCCTTTCTGATGATCTGTGCAGGAGTCAGTCACTTCCTTGGGTGACTTGAAACCCCATCACCCCCTTCCCTTGGCTGGCCGGGCACACCGTGAAGTCCCTGCTTCCCTCGAGCACCTTTGGGCCGTGAGTTCTCAGCCCAGGTAACTGCTCCGAGCAGGGGTGTTTCTGTGCTTGGTGCCCCCCACCCCCAGCACTGGGCTCGCTGTCAGTCACAGCGGGTGGGCAGCACTGACCCAGGCCTTGTCAGAGCACTGGGGGGATGCTAGGCCATCAGCCGAGCCTCCATGCACAACTAAACCCATGCCACCTCTCCCGTGGCTTCCCTGGCTCCGCGGCTTCCCTATTGGCTCTTTGCTCTTTCTCTGGAACATCTGGCCAGATCCCACACAGGAGGTGCTCTGGGGAGCTTATCAGGTGACTGAAGGAGGGAAGGAAGGAAGAGGAAGAGATACGCGCAGGCTCTGGGGCTGTCCGGAAGCAGCCACCGTGGGGAGAGCTGCACACCACCCCCTGCAAGGTCCTCCTGCCTGCAGTGGTGGCAGCCCTAGCCAGACACCAAGAGCCCCCGGGGCAGCTGTCACCGGCCCTGCCAAGGTCCTGCCTGGATCCTGGACACTCTGTGGGGCTCACTGGTCTCAAGGGCAGGCAGAGTGCATGAAGGCCAGTAGCCTCCTCTGGAGGCCTGGGAACCTGGCCACTCCGTACCGCACCCTTCGACTTGTCCTGGGGCAGCAGTGGGTGCTAGGACCACAGCCAGGACTGAGTCACCCTGCACATGGAGCCTGAGAAAGAAGGTCCAGGACAGCCCACAGCCGGCCACCCTTCACCAACCTGTCCCCAGACAGCACTCCCAGCCTTGTCCCCAGCAGGCCCTGTGGTCAAGCTCATCCCCACAACAAAGGCCCCAAGAGTGGAGCTGCCAGCCACCCTGCTCACCAACAACCCCTCAGTGGCCTGGTGGCCAAGACATGTCCCTCGCACTGTGAGGAGCACCAACACATGTGCTCACACCACAGCATGCACACGCAGCCCTGGGAGGCTGGGACGCTCCCCAGCAAGAGCCACCTCAACAGAGCCCCCCCGGGGTCCTACAGGAGACCCATTTTTGCCCCCTCCCTGTCGCGATGGGCAAAAGGTGTGACCTATGCAGTCCAGGGGGAGAAATAAAGAATGTCCACGCGCTTCTGCCCTAGTCAATGCTTTATTCACTCAACTCGCTCAATACAATTTCACTCGTAGGTTCTTAATCAAGAAAACGGCAATCCTTAATGCTGGGCACTGCAATAGACATAATCAATCCACAGCAAATAATCCTAGATTAATTAATTCTAAGCCTGCAAACACACTTAATCATGACAGCCTAATGACAGACATTCCCTCTGAATGCCAAACTCAAGTGCCAGGTCTAAAGTCTCCAGCCTTAGGCTCTAAGTCCACAGATGCCCACTCACTCAGACGGAGGTGATCAGGTCAGGAGCCAAGGCAGGCTTCTCCTGGGACGCAGCAGGCGGCTGGCTGAGGAGGGGGCTGTAGGGAGAAGTTGCTGCTCTCACCAGGGTCCAGAGGCTGCTGTGGAGTTGGAGCGGAGAGGACCACGCAGAGGATCAGCAAACGATGACGAGTGTTGGGACGTCAGTCCAGGTCCTCACCAGGCTCTCAGGCTTGTGGGCCTCAGTGTCGGCGGCTGGGTGTCTGTTCATTTGCTTCATCGTTTATACAAAATTTGGGGGCTTCTGACCCCCCCTTTCAATCCCTATCAGTTGCCACCGGGTCTCTCAGTGATGTCATTCATCCTGAGGTTAAAGCATCTGGTCTGGTGGTCCTCACCCTGATTTTCTTGCTTCTCCCCCTCAACATGACAGAGACTTACTCTGGGCCTGTCGGGGTGGGAGAAGTGACTTGTTTGTGCCTGAGGGCCATCCTGGAGGGCTCCGTGGGCACCTGGTGAGACGCAGGTTCCAAACTGGAGTTGTAAAATGGAGGTGCTTAGGCTCAGGCCTCAGGCCATCCTGACACTCCCCAAGATGGCCACACACAGGCTACGTACGCAGAGCCCAATCCAACTGGGGCCGTCTGCAGGGCAGGACCAGGACGAAGAGCCCCAGCCCCTGACCCCAGAGTTTCTGGCTACTGCAGCCCTCAGTCTCCACCCTGGTGCAGGCCAGGATGGATCTGCAATCCCTGTGGACACTGGTCATGATGGCCTCAAGGTCTTCATCTCTCCTCATGGTTCCCGGTGAGACTGTGGGGGAGGGACTGTCTCTCCTGCACCGCTGAGCGATGGGATGTGTGGGAGGCCCCAGGAGCACATGGGTAGGGTCCAGTGAAGCACCTGGCACCCTGTTCCAGGGCAGGGTGCCCAGCCCACCTGAAGTTCTGGGGCTTCTGGAACAGGCCTCAAGGGCCCTGCATGCCCTGCTGCACCTGAGGGTGGCGCAGTGGGCCAGAGGCTGATGGGTCCACTCTAGGTCAGGCTGAGCGCCCACAGGTCTCCAGGCCTCCTCCAGGCCCCCTCCCCCAGCCCCATCAGAGGTGCGGGGGGACCTGGGCTTTATCCAAATGTGGACCTAACAGGCTGCATGAGAAAGACCTTTACCTTCAGTGTCCAGTTGTGGGGCAGCACCCCACCCCTAAGGTTGCCTGGCAACACCCAGGGGAGATTACCAGGGGCTGGGAGGGGCCCAGGGACAGGGCCACGACAGGGAACCCAGGCCCCGCTGGGCACTTTCCTGTGCCAGAGGCCAGCCCAGCAGGAGGAGCGGCTGGGGGAGGCCGAGAGTCTACCTGCAGCCCAAGGCCACCTCACATGGAGAGGGGTACATGAGAGGCAGCCCCCCAAACCTGGTGGGCTTCCTGCTGTGGTTGCTGGGCGTTCAGAACTCCCCAGGCCGACCCGGGCCCTGCCCGGCGGCACGTACTGCAGGCCCGAGCTGCTATTAATAATCCCCACATATCGGGCTCCCATTATGAGCGAAAATAGCCAGCGAACGGCAGCCGCTCCGCCCGCCCCCCGCGGCTCTCAGAAGGGACCAAAATAGCGGCCTGGGAAAAGCTGCTTCAGCCTCCAGCCTGGGCGCAGGGGGTGGGGGCTCCAGGCTGGGGGCTCCACTCTGCTCTGACCCAGCGCCTCCAGGCTGGCCTGGGTCCAGGAGCCTTGGGCTGGCCAGGCCCTGCAGGGCGCAGGGCGTGGGAGGGGATGTGGGGAGGGGTCGGTGGGGGAGGGCACAGGGCCAGTAGCCACACCTGCAGCTTCGCCGTGGGTGGGGGCTTCTCTCCTGGATCAGCAGCCCCTCACAGGCCATGGTCAGAGGGCAGCTCCTTGACTAGGCTGTCAGGGTCAGGCGGAGCCAGGCAGGGGCCCTACACCCTCAGGACTGGGCACAGGGGAGGGCCAGAGGCCTGGGGCCTGGGGGCCCCCCCACTGCTCCACCTGTTACAAGTACTGTCCCCTGACTTGGGGGATGGCCAGGGTGCCTCAGGCCATGCCTGTCAGTGGGCTGAGAGGCTGGCCACCCAGGACATTGTCCTGGGGCCTGGAGATGTCCAGCTCCCCTCCTTCTCTGTGGACCCTCAGAGCACAGTTGGCCAGGTTTCCTGCCTTTCTGGTGGGGCTGGGCAGGAGCTCTCATGCACTAGGGTGCCCTCTGGTGGCCAGGTGGCCTTAATGGACTGTGGCTGGCCTGCCTGGGGACCAACCCATTCTGCTCACATCTTGTGGCTGCAGCCCCAGGGTTTCTAGAGCCCAGCAGCCAGGTGAGGAAGGAGCCCGCCCAGCCAACCCAGCCGTGCCCAGGTGCCCTTGCTTCATTGGGCAGCCTGAGTGTCCTGCGTGAGATGGGCAGCAGCAGCACCTCCTCCAGGGATGCCCACTGGCTGTGCCGGCTCCAGGTTTGGGGGGCTCTGAGTGGCCTCTCACCATTGTCAGGACTGGCTCAGAATGGGTCTCTGGTCACTTCTGCCAGACCTTCTGAGTTCACAGCAGGCCAGGCTGCTTGGACATGAGGGAGACCAGCAGGCCAGAGGGTGCAGGAAGGCAGGCGAGTGGCCCCGTACCTGGCCCCGGGAGCAGACCCAGCGGAAGGCAGGGAGGGGCTCCAGACACCAAAGAGGAGAGAGCTCAGGCCTGGGGCAAATGGGGCTTTCCTGACCCCTGCTGCCCCAAAGCACGGGCCACATCTACGAAAAGGGACGCCAGGCTATCCCACAGCGGGGCAGGCTGGGGCCAGGAACCGCTGTCCGACAGGCCCAAGCTGTGGTTTGGGGAAAACAAGCAAGAAAACCCAAAGAGGCCTGGCTGGTGGCTCTTAGGAATAGCCTCCTGCAGCCCCTGGGACCCCACCCCAAGGGCCAGGAGGGCTGGGCAGGTGCCTAGGCTGGCCGAGGACCTCAGCACGCTCCCAGCCTCCACTTCTGCACTGGGCCTAGGGCCAAGGGGAGCTGTTTTTTCTCTTCTTTTTTTTTAAGCCAAGCTATCTTTTTACCTTGATAAGCTGTTTAAAAAATGTCAATAAAATAACTCAGCAGACAAGAGCAGGCATTCACCCTGCCCAGAGCCACCCCGCCTTCGACATGAAACATCGCAGCCCTGAGTTGCAGGCCCTGCTAATCCGAGCGGACAGGCTGAATGCGGCCCCTCGGCCGCGGTGGTGGGCAGTGGACCATGCACCGCCTGCCGGGCGGCCCACGGGACAATGGCTTTTCTTCGCAGAAGGGGCCTGTGCGGGACAGAGCTCCCTTTGTGTCCGGACGCCTGCCTCCAAGTGAGGGAGGCACATTCAGCAGCCCAGACACTCTTTGAAAGGCTGGACTGCAACAGAAGGCCGAGAGGCTAGCCGCCTTCAGCCTCCTGCGCCCGCAGGCCAGCCGCCCTTGCAACTCCAGGATGGCCTCGTGCCACAGGGGCAGCGGACCCTGCAGCCCGCAGTGTCCCTAGTTCAGCTGCCCCAGTTCCTCAGCACTCTCCCCAGCCACAAGAGGCCAGGCGGTCGGCCAGGTCTGGGAGGGCAAGGTGACCCTTGAGGCCTCAGCCCCAGTGGCAGGGCAGTGCCACAGGCAGCTCTGTCCCTGAAGTGGACTCAGCCTCGGACCCTGAGATGGTGGAGGGCAGGTCTCCCTACACAGGGCAGGCGTGCCCGGAGCTGGACCCTGACCTCATGGTGCCTCTGGCTGCACATGGGGACCTGCACAGCTCAAGGCACCTGGAAGCCCCAGGCCTCCTGTAGCCACCTGGGCTCACAGCCACTCAGCCACCTGGGCGAAGCAGCCTCTTCCCACGCCACAGGCCCCACTGCTCCCAGGGCTCCCACAGACTGCTCCAGCCAGGTGCTGCAGGCAGGGCTCAGGACAGCCCAGTCCATGACTTCAGGAACCAGTCTTCCTCTCAGAAACTTCTGGGCTTACCCAGGAGACTCAGCACCCACAGAGATTCCAAAAGTCCCAAGTTCTCACCTGGCCTTCAGCATCTGCAGAGGCAGCTTCTGACCCAGGCCTCCCCACAGCCTCAGCACTCAGACTCTGAGGAGGGGCAGAGGGACATGCACTTCACAACCTGGGTACCCCTCAACTCGGCTGCCCCGAATCTGCATCCCCTTTTCCTGGGGTCCCCCAGGTGCCAGACTATGTCCTGAGCTCTTGCTGTAGGAAGGGGTCAAGGAAAGGGTCCCACAGGGGCAGTGGCCTGGGAAGGTGTCCCTCAGGGGCAGTGGGCCCCTCGTTGGCTACTCCCACAGCCTCCTCATGGCCCATCCTGAGAGCGTGTCCAGCTGGGGGAGTTGCTGGCATGTGCAGGCCAAGCCCAAGCCCGGGACACGACAGGCCCGCACAGAACCCAGGACCTGGTGGACCAACCCAAGGTGCGACGCATGCCGTTGAGGGGAGAAATAAAGAAAGTCCATGTGCTTCTGTCCTTTCAATGCTTTATTCACTCAGATCACTCCATACAATTCCACTCTGTAGGTTCTTAATCAAGAAAATAGGAATCCTTAATGCTGGGCACTGCAACAGACGTAATCAATTCAAGGAAAAACATTCTAAGTTAATTCTAAGCACTGCAAACACCTGATCATGACAGGCCACGACAGACATTCCCTCCGCTCGCTAAACTCAAGTGCCGTCTCGAGTCTCGAGTCTTAAGCCTTAAGTCCAGCAGATGCCCACTCACTGAGACCACAGCGATCAGGTCAGC